GTAAGGATTAAACATCATGACCAACTGGGATTTATTGCAGAAATAGAAGGCTACTTCAACATCCAAAAATCAATCAACATAACACATTATATTAACAGAACAACGGACAGAAACTACATGATCATCTCAAAATATGGACAAAAAGCATTTGATGAAAGCCAGCATTTGTTCATGATAAAAAAAAAAAAACACCTTCAAATAAGCTAGGAATAGAAGGGAACTTCTCAACGTGATACAGAGGATCTATATAAAATCAAATCTAACATCATACTTCCTGGAGAAAGACTAACTACTTTGTCTCTAAGATCAGGAAAAGGACAAGAATATCTGCTCTGACCACTTTGTTATTCAACACTGTAATGGAAGTTCCAATCAGCAAAATTAGGCAAGGAAAAAAATAAATTCCACGTATTGGAAAGAAAGAAGCAAAACTGCCTTTATTCACAGATAACATATTCTTATATATAGAAAATGCCAGACGATTTACCATAAAATGACCAGAACTAATAAATGAGTTCAGTAAGGTCATAGGAGTCACTTTTATTTCTATATACTAGCAGTGAGCATGCCATAAATGAAATTAAAAAAAATCCATTTGCAATGCCAAGAAAAATCGAACACTTAGGAATAAATGTAACAAAAGAAATAAAAGATTTGTACACTGAAAGTTATAAAACATTGCTAAAAGAAACTAAAGACCTAAATAAAATGAAAATAAATTGCATGTTCATGGATTGTAAGACTTAATATCATTAAATTGGCAATAATACCCAAATCGATCTAAAGAGTCAACACAATCCCAATTAAAATTTCAGCTGATTTTTTTGTAGAAATTGAGAAATGGACCTAAAATTCACATGAAAATGTTAAGGATCCAGAAAAGCCAAACAATTTTGGAAAATGGAACAAAGTTGGAGGATATACAATTCCTAATTTCAAACTTAACTATAAAGCTACAGCAATCAAAATAGTGCCTACTGGCATAAGGACAGACATATCAATGAAATGAATGAAATTAAAAACAAAAATAACACCACATTTACAACTAATTTTTGATGAAAGTGCCCCCCCAAATTCAGTGGTAAAGAAACTGTGTTTTCAACAAACGGTGCTAGGGCCATGAGATACCCACATGGAAAAAGATGAATTTGGACCTCTATATCACATCATATGCAAAAATTGACTCAAAATGGATGACAGACCTAAATGTAAGCACCAAAGCTATAAAACACTTAGAAGAAAACATAAGAGTAAATATTTGTGATCTTCAATTAGCCAATCCTTGGGCACAAGCGATAAATAGAAAACAATGATAAATTGAGCATAAACTTTCATACTTCGAAAGACACAGCAAAGACTATAAAGAGACAACCCATAGGATGGGAGAAAATATTTGCAAATCATGTATCTGGTAAGGGATTTGCATTCAGAACACAAAGAACTAGCTGAGTGCAGTGGCTCATGCCTACAGTTCCAGCTACATGGGAGGCTAAGACAGGAGGATCACTTGAGGCCAAGAGCTGGTGACGAGTCGAGGTGATTTGGTGAGATGCCATCTCTTTAAAAAAGAAAAAATATATATATGTATATGTATGTGTATCTATATATCCATACATACACATATACAAAAAAGTCTTGCAACTCAATAATAAAAAGACAATGCAATTAGAAATTGGGCAAAGGGTTTGAAGGGAATTTCTCCAAAAGAAAATATTGAAAATGGCCAGTAAACATATGAAAATATATTGAATATCATCAGTCATTAGGAAAACAAATCAAAATCACAGTACCCACTATGATGGCCATAATCAAAAAGAGAATAAACTGAAACTTCACATATTGCTGGTAAGAGTATAAAATGATGCAGTTACTTAAGTAAAGTGTAAGTTCCTCAAATTGTTAAACACAGTTATATGACCCAGAAACGCCACTCCTAGGTACATACCCAAGAGTGATGAAAATATACATCCACACAGAATTTGTATCTGATGGTTCATAGTAGCGTTCTTCATAATAGCCAAAAAAGTAGGGCAGCGCCTGTGGCTCAGTGAGTAGGATGCCAGCCCCATAAACTGAGGGTGGCGGGTTCAAACCCAGCCCCGGACAAACTGCAACAAAACATAGCCGGGCATTGTTGTGGGCACCTGTGGTCCCAGCTACTCAGGAGATAAGAGAATCACCTAAGCCCAGGAGGTGAAGGTTGCTGTGAGCTGTTATGCCACAGCAGTCTACCGAGGATAACAGAGTGAGACTCTGTCCCTCCCCCCCAAAAAAAGCCAAAAAAGTAGAAACAACTCAAATATCAACTGGGAAATGAATAAATAAAATGTAGCATATCCATATAATGAAATATTATTGAGGTATAAAAATGAATGAAACACTGATGCTACAACACAATGAACCTCAAAAATTTACACTAAGTGAAACAAGTCAGTCACAAAGACCACTCATTCTATGATTCCATTTATATAAATTGTCCAGAAGAAAGCCAATTTAGAGGGCCAAAAAAGTAGATTAGAGGTTGCCAGACGCTAACCACAGGGGGAGACTGAAAGTGATCGCATACGGGCATGATGTTGTAAGGTGCCAGAAATGTTCTAAAATTGTTAACTCCTATATACATATGCTAAAATTCACTGAACTGTATACTTAAAACATATAAATTTTAAGGTTTGCAAATTATCTCAAAAGAATATATTAAATGTTTAAAAATTGGGTGGTGCCCAAGCAGCTAAGGCACCAGCCACAAACATCGGAGCTGGTGGGTTTGAATCCGGCCCAGGGCCCGCCAAACAACAATGACAACTACAACCAAAAAATAGCCGGGCGTTGTGGCGGGCACCTGTAGTCCCAGCTACTCAGGAAGCTAAGGCAAAAGAATCGCATAAGCCCAGGAATTGGAGGTTGCTGTGAGCTATGACGCCATAGCACTCGACCCAGGGCTATAGCTTGAGGCTCTGTCTCAAAAAAATAAAAATAAATGTTTAAAAATCAAAAATTTATTAGCAGCAAACTAGCCTTTCTCACTAACCTCAGAGGTTTGAAGGCAGTTATTGCCTTGAATTCAATAAGTACCATCCAAAATAATTTTGTGTATAACAAAAAATACATATGTCACACTTTAAAACACAACTGCTGGGTTTTAAGGTGACACATTCAGACCTCACTAAGGAGAAAGGACACTGCCCAGAGTCTGGGCTCCAGGGACAGGGACCCTGTGATGGCAGCCCAGGTGGCAGTAGCTGGATGGCCTTGGGTTGTCTCCTACTAAGGACAGACAGAGAAGCTGTCAGGGAGTTTATGGTTGGACGTGAGAAGACAGGATTGTGTTAGACGGGACATTTTGAAAGTCACACATAAGCTGGGCACAAACTGGATGGCCCACATGAGCACACCAGACCAGCACACATGAACAGTGAGCTCTACCCTGAAAGACCGCATGGTAGTAGCCAAGCCATCATGTCACAGATGTGTAGTCTGGCCAGGCTAGAAACTGCCCCTTTCCAAGGTCACCACCCTCTCATTTTCATAGTAAGGTTGTGCTGTCTGAAGTCTCTCTTGGCCACTGGCTAAGTCATGACGTGAGGAAATCCTTCTGGGGCATTTCAGACTTGAACCAGAGAGAATGCTAGGCCAGTATCTCTCCTGAAGGCTAACACTGGCACACACCAAATACCAGAACTAAAGGAGCCCTGTGTTTACCATGTGGATACCAGTACCTTCCAGTAAATTCTCCCTTCTCCTGAGATGAACTTCTACTTTTTCTTTAATTTTTTTGTGCTAGAGGAAGGGTTCTGCTCTGTCACCCAAGCTGGAGTGCAGTGGTGCAATCATAGCTCCAGAGTAGATGGGATTACAGGTGTCAGCCATGGCACCCAATCCAGATGAATTTCAATTGGATTTTAGTTCCATGTAACCAAGAGTCCTGATACCATTCACATTTTTTTTGCTTAAATTCTAGGCCATCAGCATTCCCAGAACACATGAGGCTTTGCTCCTCTTAAAGTTCCACAATTAGCCCAGGATTAGGAGGTGTTAGAGATAGTGGCTCCTTTTCTCAGCACCCACCCACCGCACCCGCCCATCCCATGACACAGGTTAAAGCAATTCTCCTGGGAATACTAGACTAGCAAACTGCTTGAAGATTATAGTATAGAGGGTAAATATCTGAACCAAGTCTGGGGAGTTAATGATTTGTTCAATCCCCAGAAAAACAAGGGATTAAGTGGTATTTGTGGCTGTTATTAGAAACCAACCTGATGTGATGTGATATAAAGCTTTTGAAATCCCAAAGAAACACAGCAATTTGTTAAATGCCATGTTAAGAGCTTCTGCAAGATCCATTTTCATTTTTTATTTAACTTCGGCTTAATCATATTTAGATTAGGAAAACCAGAAGCATGATGTAGCTATCTTTATGAAAATCAAGTACTAAAATTCCTGAGGGAATGGAGATAACAGAATTCACTATTAACCAAGGGAATGGAGATAACAATTCACTATTTCCTTTTTTATAACATATTTATTTAGTAAAGCAGCTAACTTACTAGGCCAGATAAAGCTATCATCAAATGTGTAATCCATGTAGATTGGGCCCCTATAAAGCTCTGAAGTTAAAGTTCAGCAAGCCACTCTCACTGAGGGAAGCCATGGTGTGGAAAGTAGTTCTAATGGACACTATAAAGTATCCCAGTGCATGTGGCAAAGTAGTTCTAACACATACTATAAAATAGTTTGGTTTCTTTTTTTTGCTTTTTTTGAGACAGAGTCTTACTCTGTCACCCTGGGTTGAGTGCCGTGATGTCACCCTAGCTCACAGCAACCTCAAACCCTTGGGCTCAAGTAATCTTCAGCCTCCTGAGTAGCTAGGACAAGTGCATGGCCATCAATTAAATTATTACACTGGAAAGAGACAAAATAACAAAGGCATAATACCTCTTTAACTGCAGACACTCCGGGATGGGATATGAAATGCACAAAAACTTATAAATGCATCTTACCTGATATCAGAGAGATCACATTTGTTCCCAGCAATAGCCATTACAATGTTTTCTGGACCATGTTCTTTCAGCTCTTTAACCCATTTCTTCAAGGTATGAAATGAATCCTAAACCAAAAGTATAAATGAGTCATTGGAAAGACATATCAATACAGATTTCCAACCAAGCAGAAATACAGACTCAGCACAATTTAATGGAGAAAAATATTTTTAGGAGAAAAATATCACATAGGATAACATATTATGCCTATGTAGGCAAAGTTAACATTAGCTAAGTTATACTTAAATAGCCTATATCAAAGCCTCATTTTCTAAAATTGAAACTTGATCAAGTTAAGAAACCCATATTAGTGATTTCTTCCATAAATAACATTAATTTAAACCAATACCCTTGACTCTAGCTGAATAAGGACAACAGGATGTGTTCATGCTTACCTATATCAGGAAAAAAATAAACATATTTAGAGTCTGGTCTTCCCTTTGGCCCTTCACTCATAGCTGTCCTCTAGGAAACTGGCCAAGGTCGACACCACATATAGGTAGAAGTGGTCAGGAACTCATGGAAGGTAACAGTAATGGGTCATTAAGCTAATGATCTTATGCACTGAGTCAGCACTCCAGATCAAAAAGTAAATAATTCAATTTTCAGAGGTGAAAATAAATGTCACCAAACCACCACTGCAGCTATTTGTTGATGGATACCCCGGAGCCTTAACATAACTAAAAACACATTTATATTTATATTGTATATATACAAACACACGCGAGTTTACTTATATACACATAAATGTTATCCTTGGCATTTTAAGTATAGACTATGATTAAAACACTAATAGAAAATAACATTATATAATTATAAAACATGCAGAAGTTAAAAATAATTTCCCTTTTCTTAAAAAGCTGACTTTCTGGACAATAGCACTAGCAGGCAGGATGTTGCCTCCACGATCAATTTTAAGAATGAATGGTCACTGCCGTTTATTTAACTTAGCAGATAAATGTGAGACGCTCCACTACATATTGGTGCAATACACTCAACAGAGTGCTAAGCTGCTGGAGGATCAAGCATACCGTCTCTGTGTTGGTCTTTCTAAGTCAGGGAATCACCATAAATTGCATCTAGATTCCATAGGAGGCGGCCTTACCTGCTTGGTGATATCGTACACTATAACTGCTGCAGCAGACCCTCGGTAGTACATGGGAGCCAGTGAATGAAACTGTTGAAGAACAATGGACAGTTTTAGGTTAAGGTGAACAGTTTTTATGCAATCCCACATTAAATATAATAACATTTCTATCCTATAATCATCCCTATTGAATCCCTAAAGTCTCCCCCTCTAATTTTTCCAGGGTTCATATTAAATAATACGTTTTCCTCCCCAAATACACATATGCTTACACTACTCTTGGGCAAAGAACAAAAATGAACTTTGTCTTAAATGCTGTCTTCTCGGGAATTTTCTTTTCTCCATTGATCATTACTCCTCTCATATGACTGGTCCAGGACAATCTCATTAGAATAATTACATAGCAGTAAGAAAAAGATGTCAGCTAATGGAGCCTGGCCTGGCACGGATCACAGGCTCCTCACTGAGTTGTTAGCAAGGAGCCACTGCAGCAGCTGCCCCAGGGCTAGACGGCTCGCCTATGCTCCGGGTCTTCTTGCCAGCCTAAAGCACACACATGAGGAGATATTCCATAAGTGTCCTGCCAAATGTAAACTAAGCAAGTACCACTGGTCACTAGAATCATTCCACCCCAAATGGGACAGATAATTATCTCAGAATATATACATTTTATGTATATTTTGGAGAAGGGCTGGTCTTAATTTGCATCTTTTTTCAAATTAAAAAAAGTATTTTGGAGGAGTTTTGAAAGCCAACAAGAAAAAGATACCTCAATTTTTAAAAATGGACAAAGGCTATATATAGGTAAATCACTGAGGTGGACATACAAATAACCAGCTAAAAATTTAAAACATGTTCAATTAGAACTAAAGGAATGGAAAACAATGTTGAGGTATTTATTATGAAAAATGCTTATCATTTTCATAATAAAATGATAGGTGAGGGTATGGGAGAAGAGGCACTCTCATACATCTTCTTTCAAAGCCACTAATGCATCAAAAGGTGAAATGTCCACACTGTCTGACCCAGCAATTCTACTTACAGGAATATGCCCTGTAGTGATAACCACACACGGCAAAGTATTAATACATGCCTATGTTGAATATGGGAGCAAAAACTTGAAAACACCTAAAGGTTCATCATAGGGAATTGATTAGTGGCATAAGGTTATAAAGCGAATGTTTATTTCCTCTCAAAATTCTTACGTTGAAACCGTAACCCCCAATGCAATGGTGTTAGGTGGTAAGACCTTTAGGAGGTGATTAGGGTTAGAAGCAATCATGAGGCTCGGTGCCTGTGGCTCAAGCGGCTAAGGCGCCAGCCACATACACCTAAGGTGGCGGGTTCAAATCCCCAGCCCAGGCCCACCAAACAACAATGATGGCTGCAACCAAAAAATGGCCGGGCGCTTGT